TTTCCATTGTACCTCTACCACTAGAGTTTGTCTCAAAAAATCTCTCCTTGAATAACAACCCCTTCTCTGGTCTGGGTTCTCATTGGCTGGTTATTTTCATCCAGTAGGTGCTCTTATTGGCTGGATAAATTCATGTATAATAATCGCATTCCTATTGGGTGGATGAATTCAGCCAGTCGGTGTTCTTATTGGCTGGATGATTTCAGCCAGCCAATCCCAGTCTTGGCATTTAAGGACGGGCTGTCATAATCCGGATAAATTTAACCAATCAGTCACCGCTCTCCTCCCATCTTTTCAGCGGAATGTGGGTTGTGATTGATTGATTAAACATTCAACCAACCAATCACAGCCCCCTTCCCTCCGGTTATAGAGAAACGGGCTCTGATTGGTTGAAATAATGCAGCCAGTAAGTTTGAGGCCCATCCGGTTGGTCACTGGGACACGGATTATGATTGGTTGGATAAAATCATTTAGAATTTGTTCATAGTGAGTGGATAAATTTAAGCAGCCAGTTACATCCCCTTTCCCCTAATTAGCTAAATCGTGGGTTCTGATTGGTTGAATAAAATCAGCAAGACAATCATAGACCCATATCCACTCGTGGCTGGGGCGAGGGCTGTCATTGGCTGGGTAAAGTCATGGAGTCACTCCCAGCCCTGCGGTAGTCCAGTCACAGGAAGGCGGACTGTGATTTGTTTTTTTGTTTTTTAAATTTAACGAACCAATCACAGCCCCCCTCCCTTTCGTCACTGGGGCTGGGTACTCTAATTGGTTGGAGAAATTCAGTAAGCCAGTTAAAGCCCCCCTGCCTTAGCATCACAGGTTAGTGGGGGCTTCTATTGGTTGCATAGATTGAGCCAACCAACCAGTCACGGCTTTTACCTCTTGTTACGGGGAAGATAACTGATTCATTGAATAAATTTAGCCAATCACCTACAGCCCCCCATCTGTTGTGGTCTGTTATTGCTTGAATGGAATCACTCAACCAATCACAGACAATGTCATTGGCTCGTGGGCTCTTATTAGTTAGACTTATTCAGTCATTCAATTAGAGGCTCGCTGGGTAACTGGGATAAGGAGGTCACCAAGGAGTGATTTTTTGACAATCTGTATTTAGATGTTTACATTGATTAGGTGCTACGGAGAGTGGCCATACTTTCACTGTGAAATTATTAACTATGATTTGGATAAATGTAAATATTTAATTATTCATTTGATACATTAACGCTCATGCATAGGAAAATTAAATCGATAAAATATTTTTATAATGTTTTTAATGCCAAGAGTCGAATATTTAAACCTGTATACTTTTTATAATGATAATTAATTTAATATATTAACACAGTATTTCTAGTTAAGACTAATTAAACAGACGAAAGCATAGTTGTTAAGTATATGAAACATTTGATAGTATTAACGATTCGACGAAGGCAGACTTTTCGACCTCCGTAGGACCTAAATAATGCAATGGTCCCCCTCCGCACATAGCACCGTTCAGTTACGTTTTCTCTGAATAAATATCAGGACAGTTTTTTTTCATCCCACGGATCGACCTTCCTTCCCCCCACAAGAAATATTATGTTATTTATTTTTACTTCCTTCTTCTTGTTTATATCCCATAATAAATTTAAAATGGAACTGTATTTAATTGTATTTAAAATAACATGCATACAACACATGGTTTTGTCTTACATAATCTTATTCACCAGGAGTTATTTTTGGAATACTGTTCAGTATTTGTTAAGTACATACAAGCGTGACTTCACAAGCAATCACTGCCATCATGACACCATTTATTGCTTGATTGTTTGACCCGCTTTGCATGACTCACCTGATTTTTTGCTTGCCATGATACCTGTGCATGTCATCTTCCTTGCTTCTTGCTGGGGTATACTATATATGTATGCCATGCACTGTTTGCTTGTTACGTATGTATAGTTGCATACATACAGTATACTGCTGGGTAACCGTATGAGTGTTGGTGTTTCTTCATGTGGAGTGCGTGCGTCTGTGTGTGTGCTGGGTGTTTATATATATATATATACTAGCGATGAAGTTTCTTCAAGCAACTAAGATATATATAGTATAACGGTTAACAGGTTTGTAATTTTGTTAGTATTATAGTAGTAATGTTATTACATATGTTTCATCAACACATATATATATATATATATATATATATATATATATATATATATATATATATATATATATATATATATATATATATATATATATAACCCAGGTAACTTCCAAGTAAGTAAAATATATAGACAATATAAATACAATATATTTAACTTCATTCCAATCCCATCTCTAAGGTTATCACTTAATTTCTCAAAAGAACACTGCTATTATTTAGATGTATCTATTTCGGTTAATATTTTCATTAGTTTAATTTTAATTATTAATAAATAAGCAGGTATTTAACAAACAAACACACACATACACACACACACGTAATGATAATAATAATAATAAAATACATTTCTGTTATAATTTGAGGCAATAGAAGCGCGAAATAGCCTCAAGATAAATCTAGGTTACGTCTGAGGACAAGACACCACCAAGTGTTATTAAAGAAATACAGTTATTTAAGCGTTATAGACAGGGTCACTTCTGAGGAGGCAGTATTAGACGTGTGGCTTAATAAAGTGTTGTATTTGTACTTGAAAACGGAATGACAATATCACCTTCCCTCTGTGGTGAGATTCTGGTAAACCCACGAGTGTATGAACGACTGTCCTACTGTACGTGTGTGTAGTGGTATAGAGTGGTGTAGTATAGGCGTGGGTGAGGTGAGATGCCTGATGCAGTAAATAAAGGTGTTTGTTGTGGATTCATTCTATCAGGTTATTTGCAAGGCTGTGAGGTCATCAGGTAATCCTAATACAACAGGTATAGACGGAGAGGTAAAGGTAAAGAAAATGGAGTTAGGGAAAAAGAAAGAAAGGGATAACGTAGATAGGACGAAAGAAGTCAGGCAATGAGAAGGATGTTTGTGAAGAGTTAGTAGATGGAATGGTGAGTGGTGGGAGTAATAGAGATGGAAAGAATAGATTGGAAGGGTGTGTAGGGTGAGAGGCAATGAAGAATGGGATGGAAACAGGAAATTTGAAGGAAAGGGAAGTGGGGAAAGGAGGTTGGAAGGCAGGAAGAGGGAGGATGGGAGGCAGGGAGAGGAAGATGAGAGGGCAGAGGGGGGCCAAGGGGAAACAATGCTGAGAGGCACGAGAAGTGAGAGGGCTGGGATAGGGGAACGAGAGTGAGTAGGGGAGAAACTATTTTTGAGCGAGGGGAGTATAAAAGAGAGAGAGAGAGAGAGAGCTGGCTCATCGCTTGTCTGTCGTATTTTTTTCTAAACATTTACATGGATTTGTAAATGAGAGAGAATGGATGAAAGTCAGATAGAGAGATGCGCAGGTTTATACTACATGAACGAATATCCCGCTGTGCAAGTATCTACGTGAACATACACCGTGATACTTGCAGCTCATGGGATCTATTTAGACGTACATACAAGTCAACGTAGTTCATAAATGTCTATTTGAATGTGAATATGGCAGTACAGATGTCAATTTGAACATACATAGTTCACAATGTTTATTTGACCGGAAGCAAAGGTCACACCATGCGGTTATTAGTCGAAATTATCAGCCAATCCCCGAGCAGATAACCTTACGTGTATTAATTAAGTCAAGAGTGTGTATGACGGTGTATCTATATGCTCTCGTGTTGAGGGGAGACTGAGTGAGGGAGCGGGGGAAGTTGTCGAGGGGTGTAGTAGCGTATAATAAGCGAGGTGGTGTACTCGACTGACTGTTCCATGAATTACGTAACAGACATTCCGGTATGTTCAGGATACATACCTGTAATAAACTGATATTAGCGAAGTGGTGTGACTGACTCTTTTTAATAATGGTATATGATTTTTAAACAGTGATCTGAGGTAATATAATGTGTTTAGTCCCGGTTTAGTATGAACAAGCGTAATCTTCCTTGATACATCAGAATAACTGGTGATAAAAACGGGTAATTATATTATTCCCACAGAGGACACCACAGTAATTACTACTGCCTAAGGCTATGTATGTTATTTCATATGTTAATGTTAATGTGTTTTTTTTTCATTTGTGACGACTCCATTACGTGAACTATGACTCTCTAAATATTAATCTCAAAATGTGTCTCAGTTTCATTATAACGTTGAGAAGTACAGGATATGAGAGAGTTATATACGTTAAACACATGACCAATATATATATTTTATTATCGTCACTTCCTCTGCCGTCACCACTCATCTGTTCATTATTTTGATGCCTTCTACCTCTGGAGAATACCCGGATGTCCTATCTTAATGTCACTTCAACTTTTCTGAAGGTGGTCATTTCGTGTTCAAGACTTTCATCTCATGCAGGGTGTGACATCTAATCATAACCCCGTTTTTATGTGACCGTTTTCAAGAGGCGCTCTTCATCGGTCAATCTCTAGTTGGTGGTTCTTATATGCAGAAAAATGTTTAAATAAATAAAAAAGAGTAAAATAAATCTATTGTACTGAATATAGTAAAACATTTTTAGATAGAAAATGATAAATACATAAAATTACAAGTCAAGACACTGGAGTCTGTGGTTATTGATCTTCAGCGGACTCACTCCGCGTGATGGCCTGGCTATATGAATCACTTCACACGTCATTAACTCCCCATACAAATTACATATACTTTTTTCTCCGCCCATAACCAATGCCCCGAATAATTGTGTATACCACCTCTAATGGTGTCATCAGTTTTACATGTTAACAGGTAATATGATTTGACTTTGAACCATTTACAGGTAACGCAAAGAATATATTTTAAAAGAAAATATATCCTTCGAAATTACAAAGACAAATAGCTAGATAAAAATAAGGCATGATGTAACAAATCGTCCCCACCTTGAGAACTTTACTTGAGTCAACCATTTTCCCACTTTCTTTGACGGGACCATTTTCTATGACAGGTCGGATAGGGACGCCACACTTCATGAGTCCCGAGGTGGTGGAGCGACAACCTTACGGCAAGCCTGTGGACGTGTGGTCTGCCGGCGTCCTCCTCCACATACTGCTATCCGGCACTCTACCCTTTTATGGCACCAAAGAACGGCTCTATGACTCCATATGTCAAGCTAAGTTACATGTAAGTATCTGTACGCAGGTTTGTATGAGATAATTTCCCATATAAAGTTGTTTACCAGTGTGTGTGTGTGTGTTGGGTAGGTCAGCAACTAAATATTTGTATTTTTTAGGTAGTCGTGTTTAAGGAAAGTTTTATTTAATTCTTAATGGTTAAACTCCGCCACCAGTAAAACAATATTATAAATTAGTACACAAGAAAGTTTGCTTAATAATAAAGTTTGAGTTTAGAACTATAGATAAGTGACCTCGTTACCTATTCACGTGTTATGTGGTGCATTTAGGTCATTGGGGTGAACTTTAGGCGGCCAAGTTTCATTTTTATATACTTGAATTCCATAGATTAGATGATTTATTAATGGGGAAGTTGGTTGATAGATTGTTGATGCTTGTAAGGATAGGAGTTTATAGGTAAGTCTTGGGTAGGAAACTAAGTTATATTACCTGGAAGGACGTGAGCTCGTAGACTGATCTTAGAGAGTTTTGTAGACTTACCAGAAGGCTTCCAGGCTGGCACCTATTGTAATGGTTTGTTTTCTTCCGGAATTTCACTAAATCGTTTGTCTTAATGCATAGAATGTAAATCAGATGGAGGAGGGAGGATAAAACGACTCCGAATTTACTTAGGAAGTGTTACTGAAAATGGTAGGAACAAACACAAAGGGCTGCAACACTTGATGGTGTATCGCTGAGTGGTTCATACTAGTCGGACCTGAAGGCGCATACGTGGGCCAAGGCGTATCTTGTCACTTCTTAAGCAAATTCAAAGACACTTATTTCCCATTTCCTTAACTGACATTACATTCTACACATTAAAACAAACTCTTTAGTGAACTTACTAAAGAAAACAAACCGCTCTTCAGGGTGCAAACATAAAGGAAACTTTTACCCGTTGAAGGATAACCGTTCAGGATCAAGGATTTATTATTTCATTACTTATGGAAGGATAATGGTTCACATGTTAGTCTTGGGTGGAAGTTCAGTTTGGGATTAGTAAGATAAGAGGAAAACACAAGCGGTTCATATATTGGTATTGTATAGAAGAGAGGAAAATTAGAGGAAACCGAAGGGAAGGAAACTTACAAAGGTAATACTGGATAGACATTTGTTTAAGTTATGCTTGGGGAGAGAATTTCCTAATTATGGTAGAGATAGAGAGGGAGTGAATGAGAAGTGGAGAGCACAGCAAGTGTCATAGTATAAGGGGAAAAAGATTCTTTGTGAGAAATAACTTCAACAGCAAGAAATACTCTCTCTCTCTCTCTCTCTCTCTCTCTCTCTCTCTCTCTCTCTCTCAAAACTATGTAATTATTTGAATGATTTTTTTTTTGTATATCAATAATTAACCTATCTTGGCCCCCCCCCCCCTTCTTCAGCTCAACACGCCTACCTGGGAGAGTATCAGTGACCATGCCAAGGATCTGGTCCGTAGGATGTTGACATTTGACCCCAACGAACGAATCACCGTGAAGGAAGCACTCAACCACCGCTGGATCAAGGTACGAATATTAACCTTATTCCTGTATTATACTCGTATGTGTTTTTTTGTTTTTTTTTACCATATTTCAGTTTTATTTAATACTACAGAATTTTTTGGGTGCATCAAGGAAACATTAATTTCTATTTGCAGCGTCCCCTTTAAATAATAATCCTGGAAAATTAACAGATGTCTAACTCCGCTTGTCGTGAAAAATTTGTTTTACGTCGTTATTGTTACGATCGGGGAGCGGAAATGACACGGTTGATATTGACTGGGAGAGTAGAAATAACACTTTGGGGGAGTTTACGCGTGTAATAGTGACTGGCCAGTGGAAATTACAGTGTGTGTGTGTGTGTGTGTGTGTGTGTGTGTGAACCTTTTTTTATCGAACTCTCCTGTACTAGCTGAGGATGTAGACTTTTTTTTTTCAACTCCCGGGGTAGATGGTAGGGAGGGGGGGGAGGGGATGAAGTGTTCCTATATGCGGACTTCCTTTGTTTATGAAATCAGCCGTTTCGTAGACCTTTCCCAACCAACATTCAATCAAATGCAAATGACTTCGGTGTAAGACAAATTAACCTCTTACCTGCCTGAATTAATAGGTTTGTTTGTTCGTGGAATTTCAACTGCCAGGGTTATTAAGTCTCCACATTCACTAGGTTGTAAGTTTCAATAGGAGACAACTTTTAGGAATTCAGAATAAGCTGATGTGTTAAGGCTTGTTTTGGTGGTCTGTGTCCATATTAATTTATTTTTGAACGGCATTAACCTACGACATTAACCTTTTGGAGGACGATAGTTTAAGTTATAGATATACAAAGGAATGGTTATTATCCGTAGAAGGTTAAACAATCGTTCTTAAGTAAATCGTCCTATTATTCTAGATATATTAAACCATCATCAATTTAAGCTGTATCCTGGTAAGTCATTAATGTTGAAATCTACCGTGTTTCTTAAAGATTGTTCAGTGCCTCGTCTTCATTAAACGTGTAGAGAGATGATTTAGGAAATATTGAGATTAACAACTTGATACTTGGGCGTCACATCGAGAGTCTTCCGCGTGGAGGCCTAATGCGTTCACTCTATCCCGGGGGAAGTCGCGCATTAACATCAAACAAAACACGCATGAAGGCGCACCATCTTGTTAAAAAAAATATAGACTGGATGCAGTTCTTTCTGGTGTCGGACAACATAATTTTCCAACGTGTCGAGATATACATTTCCCGTCAATTTCCTGTCAATCATCACGCTCCCTGTCCCCAGAAACTTATCAGAGCCAAACAGTCTCCTAATGCTGGGTGGAGAGAGAGGGTCCTTCCTATACTGACGGTGATAATTCCGTTAAAGAGTTGTCACTGATTTCGATTTCGCGAACACGATGACACATGGAGCTGGTGCTATCGAATAACGTTAACCGGCCGATCAGATTACTGTACCTGCAAAACACACACACACACACACACACACACACACACACACACACACATACACACACACACACACACACACACAGCATTAATTTACCTGTTTTGGTGGTAAATGGTATATAATAAAGTTTTAATAACAAACCAAGACTGTGAACACCTTGCACGTTTAATTCACTCTCTCATATATTATGACGTTATCCCGAGCATTTATATAAAGTCTTGTCGGCACAGTTGCACGCTTGTATCCTGATGAAAATAATGCAAATGTGTTGGCACTCTTGTTTGATGTACGTAAATGTAATTAAGATTGTGCGATACTGGTCCGTGGGGGTAAACAATTGAAGTGCCAGGCTACCCTACTGCTAGTCCTCTCTCTCTCTCTCTCTCTCTCTCTCTCTCTCTCTCTCTCTCTCTCTCTCTCTCTCTCTCTCTCTCTCTCACCTTTCTTCCCTTATCTCCCATTATTTTGCGAGTAGTCTTCTTTGAAATCCTACTTTATATTATCCTTTCGTCTACACCTTTCCACTTTCAATTTATTCTTGTAAATGTTTAGGCTGTCACAATATCGCTGTCCAAAGTCTTAATATAAACCACGAATACCATTAGAGAACCGAGGCAAGAGAACGTATGTGTCAGGAAATACGTCTAGAGAGTTGGTTAAATGCAAAATGATGATCGAGGCACACAATCCGTGTATGATTTCTGGCTTAATCCTCAAAACAGCGTCAGTGCAGGCAGAAGGTGAGCGGATGTTCGTCAATCGCAGCCAATGCAAGTGTCATTGTGAGGTTGAGAGGCACTCCAGGCGCTATTGACTACCCGCTCGGGATGACAGTGTTTGTAAGTGTTTGTGTGTGTGTGTGTGTGTGTGTGTGTGTGTGTGTGTTGTAGGATGAGGACTGTGGCAGGAGGAGGAGGAGGGAGACAGGACACAGCAGAAGAGATAAATATCAAGGGTCCATTCGGCTCCCGCTGTTATCCGCCAATCCTCCTCACTGCTGATCCATCACTCAGTGGGATGTTGTCCTCCTCCACCCCCCTCCTTCGTTGAGCTCTCCTTCCTTCTCTTCCTTCCTTCTCTCCTTCTTTCTTTATCACTACTGTTGTTTCTCTCCTTTGTATGTGTCTTCTGCCTCCCCTTTCGCCTCTGTATGTGTCTCCAGATTTCTGCATTCTCTTTCGTATACATTTCTTTCTTTGTTTATCTTTCCTTCCCTGTTTCCTTCTTCGTTTCAGGTTTAACTCTTTTTTTTTATTTGTTATTTTGGTTTCCTTTCATCCTCTTTATTCTTTTTAATTTATGTATTATATTTTTGCCTATGCCTCTTCTCCTTGTAGTTAGAATATTGTTTATCGTTTGTTTCTTATTTTATGTTTGTGTAATTCCTTCTCCTCTGAACTGATTTAATTTTTCTGGAAGTTGGTAAACGTGTACAGTTGTGGCCTCAAATCCCTCGAACACTTTTGGTAATATCTGGTATAATGTCTCATGGAGGCTCATTGTGAACTGAGGTGATCAAGCAAAAGTCTTATTACATTCCTGTGCAGTGTCAGCGATACGAGTAGTCCCTGTTTTCATTATTTTTTTTACTTCGATAGCTAAATATTCATCTGCCTCTGTCTCTTTTACTTCATTCATCTTTTCCTTTGTTTTTTGTACCCTTCTCCTCTGTGTCTTTCCCCAATGTAATTTTAGCTTTGCATTTACTTTATATCTCTCTCTCTAATTTCTCTCTTCTTCTCCTCTTTCATTCTCTTTCTCCATTTCCATGTTATTCTCCTTTATAATACTCCTCCCCTTCCTTCCCATGTTCTTTTTTTTCCTCTTCTTTTTCTTTCCAATCTCCTCTCTTTCTTTCCCTTCTTCTCTTCCTCTCTCCTCAATTCCCATACCTCTATTCTCTGTGCGTCTCTCCCGTTTCACTTACTCTTGCCTTAGCGCCTTTTCCCTCTACTTCCCCAACTGTAATGATTGGCCGTATCCCAAGTACACCGGTTGAGGAACACCTTTGTCATCCCTGATCTTCTTCTCTCGTTCTGAACATGTTTGTGTCTTAACCATCACTCTACGGCTTCAGTCATCTCACATGATGGCTAAACATTACATTCGTGCAATTAGCGTAATGATTATAACAGGTGAGCTAAGGGTTCAAGTTAGATTATATCATGTAAGGTCAGGTGAAGGTAATACCCATTATGCGATTCACTTAGTTATTACCTTCCCTGTTGTATAGTATTACCGTTACACAAAGCTGAATGGTTGTAGCTCCTAATGACTCCTCTGGGCATAGACAGCTTATGAATGGCTCCACTGCATGACTAGTCCCTCCGTCAGCAGTACGGAATGAACCCTCTATGGGTAGCCAATACGCGAAGAGCTGCAGCACGTAATGGACGCTTCTTCCGCGCTACGTTATGGGTTGTGTGTGTAGCCAATACATGGAAATCGGCTCGACGACGAAGGAATACCAGAGTAAATTATCGGGAAACCTGAGTACTGATCGATTTTTGATGGCCTCTGTCTTGACCTGCCGTCACCACGCTGGTAGGTCGCTGTCAGGTCCACCGGTCCCTGGCCACCAAGGGCTATGGCGCCAGGTGTTTTCGAATTTTTTATTTTTTTTTATTTTGCCTTCCATGAGTGTTTTGCTTACTATGGGAAACGCTTAGTATGTGTGTAAATTTTAGTAAGGCAGAAGCATCCACACGTTTGTAAGTGGATGATGTTATAAAGATTTAGAATGTCACGTGTCAGTTCTTATCATTCCATAACAGAAACGTCTGTCTTGTGCAGTATATACGTTCATTACTCCACTATTAGATCACATTATTGGATGAAATGTATTATCGTGGATACACTTTCATTTAAACATAATTTCAGTATTATATTAAAACGTTTTCTTAAACATAAACTAGCTTCTCAAAATGATATACATATTTATTTATTTACTTATTTATTTATTTATTTTATTTATTTATATATTGATGTTTTATATATTCGCCATGATATGAAAGGCGAAGCTTGGTGTGAAATGTGGTCACTGATGTGTAGTCTACTTACACAGACCCATTGATTTACACCCAGTCTCCTCTCCCTCTTCCTTCCTCTTAACCCTTATCGTGTCTCTCTCATTTCCTTAAACTCACCCTCTCTCTCATAGGATCTTATACAAGTCTCTCATCCATAAAAGATCATCAAAGTTTCTTAGGTATTTATTTCGTTATAGATGCATCTTCCACCTTACCTGTTATCTCCTGTTCTAACCCCATGATCGAGTTCTTTACCTACCTCTTCTCCCCCTTTATCCCCTTTCTCTCTCTCATAGTTTATCACTCACACACTGGCCCCCTCTCATTTTCTCATTGTTTCTCTCCGTCTCCGTGAACTTCTCAGTTGTCACCCTCCTACGGGACTTAAACTCCATCTCTCTCTGTTCCTCGACTTTTTTATACATGTTTGTCTCTCCCCTTCCATTGGGATCTTAATTGAATCTCTCATCCACCCGAACATCCATGGCATTCTCTCTCTCTCTTTCTCCTTTATTTTTATCTCTATTTTTCTTTATTTTTCACTATTTTTCTCTCTTTGTACTGCACTGTGCTGGTATCTCTCCCCCTCACCCACTGATAAACGCAATCTTAGTCTCTTTGCCCTTATAATTACCTCATTTGTTTCTTAATCTATTCCACCTTCAGGGAAAACCTCCTCTCCTCCCCTTGATGATTATGATGGACCTTCCGAGCTACTGCCCCTCCCCCTTCTTATTATCTCTTAGGGTCGTGCATGAGTATATCTCCCATCCAACCCATCTCAGTCTCTTTACACTTGACCTGTATGTCTCCCAGTCATTCTGAACTCACTCTCTCCACCCTCCTCCACACACTACGGCTCTCATTGACCATACGAGTACATTCTTCTCCCTTTATCTCTCCTCTCTCTCTCTTAAGATCATAATAAGGACCGTATATCTTTCCCATCCACCTTATGCTTGATATGTCCTGTGTCTCTTCCATCATGCTCACATTTAACTTGTGTTCGACCCTTCCAGGACCGCGACAAGTACGCGTCACGGTCCCACCTGCATTCCACGGTGGAGGAGATGCGGAAGATGAACGCCCGGCGGAAGCTGAAGGGTGCGGTGCTGGCGGCTGTGTCGTCCCCTCGATGGACCAGCTTCTACAGCGACCCCACCCTCGACCCCTATCCGGAGCTTCCCGCCGATGACGACGTGTGCAGCACCGGTGAGTGCCTCCTGCGACCACATGTTGTATACATCACCGCGTCCTCATAACCCTTTCCTTCACCTCTACCATCACTGTCAGGATCACCGCTTCCCTCATCACGATTTCCTGCCTTAACAACTGTTCTAATCATTGTTAACATTGTCACCAACATCGTTTGTCATTCACCACTACCGTCTTCATCACCACCGTCTTCATCACCACCACTACCGTCTTCATCACCACCACTACTTCTCTTATCTTTGCTGCTCCCGTTATCACCACTACCCTCTGTCATTCTTCATCATCACCACATCCATCACCACGCTTGCCTACATCACCACTACCGTTGATCGAGCTCCTCCAGGGAATCATACATTTTTACCCGACTGAACTTTGACCTAACTTAATGCATCGCCATTGATCACCTGGAAAATTTATGTCGACATTTAGATTAAAGAGACAGAAGGTGAATCTCTGGAGAACTTATATTGAAATATGAGGACAAAATAACGAATGTGAATGAAGGAGGTGTTAGGTCAGAGTTTACTGGGTCAAGGAGACGGATAGACATTTTGGTAAGTTATGTCAAAGTTCAGTAAAAATGACAAATGAAAATTACCTTTGCCGGAATTGTAAACATAAATAATAGTTTTGTAAAATTCCTAAATTGAGAATTAAATCAGATTCAACTAATAAATTTGTTATGATAAATCACACGAAAATAATAAAAAAAAGAACCCATGACAAAGCTGTAATTAAATTTATCATAATTGTTTATAATTAAGGGGACTTTCTTGTCAGAAAATGTAAATCATAATCTTGCCATGGAGTCGGGGATGACAGGGAGAGTTGTGTTAAAGATGGTAGAGTTGTGATTGATTTTGAAACCTGGTGTCCGGACTGAGCAACTCGTTTTACACAGCCGACTAAATGGTTATACAGCAGACTTCCCTCAAGTATGCGGTTGACACTAATTAAACAATGCTTTTCACCTTCCTCCTTACAGGTCCCTTAAATGGTTTTCTTAGAGTAAATGTTGTCACTTAAAACAAGGTACACGAGTCAAAGCAGTGCACATCACTCTCCCTTTCTGCTCCCACACAACCTGGGATTTCGGAAATAAACATGTGCTCAGTTTTCTTCGGAGAGAAAGTAGTAAAGGGATGTGCCTCGGGAGATTGTTTTCGGTTTTCATAATGATGACAGTTTTGTCTTGGGAAAAGTGTTCCAGTAGCCTGAGTGATGACTCCCAGGAGGGTGGTTAATCTCACGAGCCCCAACACCGAGGACGAGCTTCATATCCTGGTGCACCTCGGGGGATACTTCTGCTTTCATTTAATCAATATACTGTACTGTAGTTATGAAGTCTCCTGTAACACGATATTACATGTTATATTCCACAGTAGTAGCAATAGTTGACTCGTGTTAAAACTGATTTCGAATATCCCCTTAAAGCTTTTGTTGTTGAAGTACCTAATACACTATAAACAATGGCTGAGTAATTTTTTATGAGGATACAAATTTTGTAAGTTGAGAGTGAAGTCTAAGGTTCTTCTGGCTTAACAAATTACCAGTGACCACAAAGCTTTCAGTATACCAAAATTAGGATCAGTTGGTCCATGCTCGGGGTATTCATATATTATGTCTCTCAGGTAACATTGATCTTACATTGATCCAGATAATATTCTGTGTGTAGTGTATTAAACTACAGGACACTTATCCAAGGTGGAAGAGATTGTTATTTGTTATTGCCAGATAATTCTCACTAACCCAAAATGGTGCTTAGCCTGATGTTATAGGCTATCCAAGGGTGGTTATAATGCGACCTTGTAGTGGTTGTTCGTCATTGTTGGTGAAATTGATAATTAACATTAGCCGGGCATAAGGCCTCTCTTCTAACTGTTCGTAAAGTGGGTGAGAATAAATGTTTCTTGTGGGGTCAACTGGAGGCGGGCGTCAGGAAACATGCTGTGAGTTCACGAAGTTAACATTTAAAGACTGCAGGTGTTAGCACAGCTGACTCCTGCAAGAAACACCTGAGAGATTGAGCAGGAGGTGAAGCTGTGCGGATTTCTGTGAGGCTTGTGAGGTTTTACTGTACTACTTCAGTGAGGTAATCCTGAGTCAAGACTGTATCTCTTTAGGATAATATAAGGTGTAGTTTTCCCCTTATTTACAGTCAACCTTCCCTCTAAGTCAGGTCGGTTGCTAATAACACAATTCATTCGGGATGGCCAGTGTGTTGTATGTGGAGGAATGTTGCAGAAACTCCTTTTTATGACCCAGGCCGAACTGAGTGATAAGGTTACCCTCCCTCCCTCCCAGAGTTGTATTGCAAGGTGGCTGACACTAAGGATTGTTACTGGAATACCTGGTTGTAACTGAGCAAAAGATGAGTGATGCGTAATGTGACAACTCTTACTCCTGAGAGAATCCTTTCAAGGCTCTAGTCTCAAGGAAGATGAAACTATCTGATTAAGTCTCAGTAGTTGCTTGAGGGAAAGAATGGAATCTAACTCCATAGATTTAAATGCACGAGTAGTCAAGTCGGTTGGAATTAATCCTTTATATCTTATGACAAATTTCCTCTGATCATCCTACCTCAGAGTGGCAAGACGTTCCAGTAGATTTGTGTATTAAGTAGACTTGCAAGCAGTGTTAAGGAAAGAGAATAAAGAATAAATTTCAGTTTTTGATTAACTTTGTCATGGTGATTAAGTCTGAATATAATGATTTTCTATAACATTTTCATTAGATTAACACTCATATAGAATGATCGCTGTAATAATTAACCGTACTGAATGGAAAATATTGTCTATGGGGAAAATAAATCAGATTGGTGATATAAGATAAAAACTGGCATTACTTTCCTTGTCATGTATACGGTAGGAGTCATAAGTGGCCCGATGTTGCCCCCAGGAGCAGTAAGCGTGGTGCTGGACTCACTGGACGACATCCAGTGCCTGCAGGAGTGTCCTGTCAAGGACCGCGACTTCCTTCTCTCCGTCCTAGAAGACACGCAGCTCCACGCCCTCCTTGACGTGAGTACCCTTGTTTGTTAGTTCATGCAGGATGCTGCACACCTGTTCTTTGCAGGACTCTTCATCAGCTCTTACAGGACACTCAACACCAACTTCTGCAGGTTACTTGTCACATGTTGGTTCACGTAAGTTCTTGTTTCTCAATTCTTGCTGATTATTTAAACATTTCATTCAGGATGCGCTGCAACAGTTCCTGCAGGATACCTTTTTACCATCTGGTTCTTACATATTCTTTGTAATCAGTTTTTAGGACTCTTCATTATATCCTGAAGGACGCTTTTTTGGTTCGATTCACACATTAGGAAGTCTCAGGAGAGTCGTAGCCCAAAATTTTAGGTCTTTTTCAGCCACATCTTCACAAGGTGTGAAGTATTTGAGTCGGTATTTCTGGTGTTTGATGACTCCCGTGTTAGTCACTTCTTGCCCACACTTTCACTTGCTGGTTGTTTCCTGAATTACATGCGGAGGAAATTAACGATGCTCGTGGTATGCATGACTTAGTAACTGGGATTTGGATCTAATTTAACGTGGTGAGCTTCTGGAATCTACTACTGTAGCCTTTCCCTGAAGCCTGTTTTTGAAGCCCTCCCCTGTAAAGCCTATTTCTGAAGTCCTACTACAGGTATAAAGCCTACTTTTAAAGCCCTCTCCTGTAAAGCCTACTCCTGAAGTCCACCCTTGAAACTGTCTCCTAGGATCCTCCAGAAGTAGTTTCACACTCAACAGATCCTTCAAGAATGAGTTTAATTACCTTCCGGCCACCGTGTCTATCTCTCGCTGGCGGAGGACACTTTACAGCAGCACAAAAGTCATAGAGAAATGAAAAGCCTCTTTGTCGAAGCAATTACACCTAGGGGAGTTTTATCTGGTAAATCGGGGATGAAGTTTCTATATTTTGATTTTGTTAGGAGAGTCATCGTGTTGGAATACAATGGGGGATATATTTTTATGTTATGAATATGAATATGAAGATGAAATTTTACTGCAGTTAAACCCAGGGGACCTTGACCTTTTGTAAAGCTGGGATGAAATTTCTGAATTTCTTTTGTTTACGAGGTGAAATATAAAGGGGATAGATTGTTTTTTTTTTTTAATAGGAACGTGAAAGTTCATTTTGGCTCCAGAAAATGTTACATATTGGGAATTTTTTGTTATCAGATTTATGCCAATTACTTTGTCACAGGAAGTTTGTTTATTTGTTTTGAGAGAGAATGAATTACGCCATCACGTCATCATGCATTGTGTGATTCACTGTTACAGGATCATAAATAGAAAAGACACAGTGTTATTTGTTCCTCTTGTGTTAATCCTATAATGAAATTTTATATCAGAATTTAACGAATCTTTGAAAAATTAACTCACGATGTTCAACAAATCAGAAAACAGGTGTATAAAGCATAATGGGTGTGAAAATACAACTACTGTACACATATTACATTGTTAATTAACACAATTGGCGACACCTTTGATGTATCGTCACTGAATTACGTAAACTAGATTTTTTTATATAAAGTGGATTTTGTTTTGCAGTGGACCAAATTACTCGTTTTTTATTGGATAAGAATTTTAAAGAAGAAAAGGACAGAATGAGTAATGTTTTATGATTATTTATTTTTCCCTTGTGTCACGGCATGTATGAAACGTTCTTATATACTCAAAAATGAATATTGCATCTTTATATCTATGAGAGTTTCCATCACTGGCGGGTGGAAATACCAGATAAATCTCCTCCGATTTAGCAGAATTCGTCTTCTGTGCGTCAGTGGGCTGTTTTGGGCGTGTCCTATCGTGTGTAACATCCAGCATCCGACGGCAGATTGACAAGAGGTGAGGCCGGAGATGTGGAGGAGACAGAGCACATCTCAGGTCCTCTAGGCCACCTCACCCGGATACGAGTTCTTTGAGGGGGACGTGTTGGTGTAGGGGGACGTGTTGGTGTTAGGGGACGTGTTGGTGTAGGGGGGACGTTGGTGTAGGGACGTGTTGGTGTCGGGGGCGTGTTGGTGTTAGGGGACGTGTTGGTGTAGGGGACGTGTTGGTGTAGGGGGCGTGTTGGTGTTGGGGGACGTGTTGGCGTAGGATGATGTCTTAGTGTAGGGAGACGTGTTGGTGTTGGGGGACGTGTTGGCGTAGGATGATGTCTTAGTGTAGGGAGACGTGTTAGTGTAGGGGGGACGTGTTGGTGTTGGGGGACGTGTTAGTGTAAGAGGACTGTATTCAAGACACCACCAGGACAAACACTGTTAACTTAGCGTAGGTGGTGAGTGACTGCAGGCTTAAGTGGTGCACGCTGCCTCGCCGACACCTTAATTAACTACACGTGTGAGGGATATACACAGGTGCCATCTAAGGCTCTCAGGTCTGATTACACTTTAGTTATTACTATTATTAGTAGTTTTGAGACTGTATTTTGGTCTCTACAAAATCTGCCACAGTCACAGGTTGCTGAACTTCTTGCCACGTTGGAATTCCCTCCTGTGTGTTGGTTCAGGGTTGTCGTCACGTTGGTCTCGCATCTGACATTTAGACCACATTCTTGACCAAACTTCTCGTGTGCGAATGACTTTTTTTTTTATAAGAATTTTCTTTTTAGTTTTCTCATTACTCGAAGTTCCTTGTGAGACTAGTACAAACATGGCAGACCAAGAATTCGTCATTGGTTGCCCTAAATCGAGTTTGGGAAAAAGAAGTTATACATCTAGCCAGGGAAAAATACTTAATCCGTTTAAGAAAAACAGAATTAGGATGAGTCGATGCTGCTTTAAATAGAAATAGACTTTATACTCTTATCTAAAATATGTATAAGTAATATAAAGCTTCAACAATGATGCAGTAATATTGTAATTGTAGGATTGTTGCTCAGACATATTGTACATATAGTTATTCTTCATTTATCTTAAGCTTTGTTTACTCATTCCACGGTCAGGTAGTAACAGAGGAGAAGAAAAGTTGTTATGGTATTTATATCTAACGGGGGGGGGTTCCTCACTTACCACCTTTACCTGTCGAATGGGTAAGACAAATAAAAATTCACTTAGCATACATCTTGACTGTACTGTTTTGTTGATGATGCTTCTTATTTCAAGCCATAAGATCAACCCCCCCACCACACCACACCACCCCCCTCCCCTCCAAAAAAAATTCAAGTAACATTAAATTTGCGTCACATCCACTCAGAGATGGACACCTGGTGGATGGATCTTGCGCCGCCATACTAAGAGTGAATCCCGCTAATTTGTACGTGTTGTCTCATTCCAAATTGAATATCGAGGTTCATTATGGGAGTGTTTGGTCATTTGCTGGTGTCTTTTATTCGGGTTCTGGTTCATTTATGTTGTTCTCCGTCAACCATTCCCTGAGTCACTTCGAAGGTTAAGACTTGCTGCTGCGTTAAATTTGGTTCATATGGTAATTTTATCGATAACGGCTGTCCTGGAGTTATCTGGTCGTTTCGATACAGTTATGAGGGGGGTGGGGGTGGAGAGGCCAGGGCGTGTAGGTGTGGTATATGTACGTGTGGTAGGTGTACATGCGGTCTGTAAAGTTGGCATGGGATATGTACTTTCACACCCGGAGAAATAACGATTTATCCATAATTAATAATAATGAATAAACGTCATCATATCTCGTGTCATTAAAGTCAACTGACTATAGAGTAATTACCTTAATTAAATCTGAACAGTGTCTCACCTGATCATGAGGAGGGAAGGTCATCCTGGGTCAACGTGTTTGATTCATCATATTCCCCTTCATGTTCTGGGTTTTTTTTTCTTCAGGTATTTCAGAATTATTCACCTAAATTACACATCCATATCATTAATTACCGTCATCAAGTGAAGAGTAATGATCATGGTGGCGTTTAAATTTGGGTTGATTACTGTAGTCGTTTCAATATCATCAATCTATGTAACTTTAAATAATATTATTCTCTATCTCATTTCCGTGTTCATTTGAGTGACTGCAGGTGAAGGAACAGGTGCTAATGGGATACGAATGCTGCTTCATTAATTAATTTACTCACTTCCATTTCATCCACTTTCATTTTATACTTAAGTAAAGGGTCTTTACTGCGGGTTCATATAATTTAATTTGTTCCTCTCTATTCGCAGCAAACTCCCAAGTCCTGTTGTAGTTTTGTGAAATAATTTTTATATTCTGTTACGTATTTGTTTTTGCATTTATCAATTTATTTTCATTATTGTCTTTCTACGTTTTACATTTCCACCTCCTCTCTTTGAATTCCTCACACACATATGGTGGTGGTAGGGGGTGTGGGGGTGGTGTTGGGGAGGGTGGAGGGGGTAGCTAACTGTGCGGTCAACACCAATTTTGGCAGCAAGAAATTAGGCCCTTCGTGCACCTGAATTTAAATTGGTGTATTTGTGTATATTAGACCCAGCTGTAAGCGAGATGTCTCCTGCTGATTATATTCGTATATTTTTGTCTCTGCAAATGATTATTTTTCTTTCAGTTTATCATAGAACTTACGAAACGAACTTGTCTTAACATTATAACATGGAGGAACTTACGAAACGAACTTGTCTTAATATGCAAGTTTTTTCAAGGTTTAGAATTGGAACTTGACCAATGTATATCTCCATATAGTAAATAAACTTACAGCTTGTTAAGAAAACTTTCCTCCGTGTAAGCTTGAAGTTTTGGACTATGAGAGCCCCCCTCCTCGGCCCAAACTTGGTACCACCCTCCCTAACTTGTGGCCTCCTCCTGATTTTGTCACATTTTAAGGGGAAAGTTTATAAAAAAAAATATATACTTTTTTTTATAGACAACAACTTTTGAGAATGTCACCTGGGATTTACCTTTATATTGGGGATTTTAAGGAGTTTGGTGGGAGACTAAACTTCCAGGTGGACCGAGGACGTGGGGTGAGAGGAGACCAAGAAAGACCCAGTGTTGTGAGAGAAAGGAGGAGGATACTAAAGGAAAAGGAGAGAGAGAGAGAGAGGGGAGGAGAAAAGATAAACAAAAGGAGAGTGAGAGAGAGGGGCAGCGAAGGAGAGGGAGAGTAGGCATGAGGAAAAGGGCTGTAGGATGTGGAATGGGGGAGATAAGTGGACAAGAAGGGAAAGTGAGAGGGAATGGGGGAAAACAAGAGAGAATGGAAGGCGTGGGAAGAGAACGTGAGTGAGAAAAGCGGAGAAAAAAACTTTATGATTGGGGATTGTGTCAGTGGTGGGGGTGGGGGAGGGGGGTGATAAGGTCCATTATGGGGGTCTGGTAAGAGAGGGGAGGGGGGGACGAAGATGGAAGGGGAGATAGAGAGAGGAGGTAGGGAAAAAAAGATGGAAAGGGGGAGAAACAGGTGGTGTGAAGAAGGGAGAGGTGGAGGGGTAGAATAGGAATAGAAGTAGAGATGTGAACAGGAACAGGAGGAGGAGAGACGGTGAGGGAAGGAATCAGGTGACGTGTTGGTAATGAGATCTTGAGGTGACCAACCTGTAGCTGTGAGGGGAGAGGGGTGGGAATGGGAAGGATAGGAGAGTGAGGAGGAGAGGGTGTTAAGGGAAGAGGGATAGGAAAATGGGAAGGAGAAATAGGAAAGTGGGAAAGAGGAGTGAAATAGAGGTGAGCTACTACAGTATGAGAGAGAGATGAGGAAAATTTTACAGTAATTGGACACAAGAATAGGAGGGACAGAATCGTAAAAGCCATAAATGACTTAAAAAGATTAAATAATATTAGGACAAAAATGGAAGGGGACATAAAGGAATTGAGAGAGAAGAGTGGAAGGGAAGTAATTGGGTAAAGGAGAAAGGTTTCGAGAGGGTAGAAGAAAAGAGTAAGTGAGTATAAGAGGAGACGTAGGGGAGGGGAAAATATAAAGGTGATAGATTGGAAATATAAGAGAGAGAGAGAGAGAGAGAGAGAGAGAGAGAGAGAGAGAGAGAGAGAGAGAGGTGCATTTTCCTTCCCCTAAAGAAAGAAAATAAAGTAAATATGTCAATTTTCACTTTATTTGCTTATTTAACTAAACTAAACAGCTCTGCACACGCCAGTCTCTCTCTCTCTCTCTCTCTCTCTCTCTCTCTCTCTCTCTCTCTCTCTATCTCTCATTGTCTCTCACTCACCCACTCATTGACAGAGCAAGTTAAAAAAAAATTCTCTGTGATTGGTTACGATAAGTTATCAAAGCCACTCTATCATGACCTCCCGTGACTAAACTGCACCCAACTCCCTGAAGCGTAACTGGATTTAGCCGTGCCAGCAGCTTTTCCATTGGTCTCTATCACCGACGGGGAACATTATTTAAAAGAGTGTCGGCAGCGTAGTAAGAATAACCCAGTGCTTTGTTGTTATTGTGTAATGTCCGGTGGAAAAGGGGGGGGGAATGGTTAATAGGAGGAGGAGGAGGAGGAGGATATGGTGACGTACCTCTTATAGTGTCTCACCATACCAACCTTCTCTTTCCCTCACTCTCTCTCTCTCTCTCACTCACTTCTCATGCCCTCACTATATTTGTTGGCAAACCACGTTGGAAAGCCATATCCGGACTCCGGCGTCAGGAAATGGTGAAAAGACTGGTGCTAAGAGAGGTGTGTGTGTGTGTGTGTGTGTGTGTGTGTGTGTGTGTGTGTGTCAGAGATGAAACGCCTCAATTATGGCTAATGTTAACAAGTGACTAACCTTTACTGGGGTAATTTTTTCGCAGCTAATTTTACGGGAAATCTAATTAAATCGTTGCCCAGCGGAGCATATCATGTTTTCTAGTTAATTACAGAAGCCAAAATAGTTAGATTTACCCGGGAAGTACACTCAACAAAAATAGCTTCACGAGGGATATTTTTGTACCTTAGACATGCACAAAAAATCATGTTTAAAATTACATTCAGTAAAGCCAACATTAATGTTTACCATGTTGACGTGTGACGCTTTATTTCCCTCCCGAAGTGAAGTTTAGCTACACTTTGGTCAATACAGTAATTGCTATATTACTAAATTAAATAGTTAGAAAATTATGTAGTCAAGAAAACACTTCCAAGTCGATATCTATCAATGAGATCCCGATTGATCATCTTAATAATAATAATAATGATGAAGATGATGATGATGATGATGATGATGAAGATGATGATGATGATGATGATGATGATGATGATGATGATAAACGCTAAATACATTCATGAAGCACAATAAGGTATAACAGTAATGAGAGTTGAAGGCGTCATTCTCAGAGCCTTGAGACTCTCTTAAGTACCCTTGGTGAGAATCTAGGAGTCTTCGTATGTTTATTTAGTCTCGTAATTAGGAGTAAGACAATGAGTCCTAGTATAATAACCACGCCATTTTGTTCGTGATAGTTGTACCTTTGTCTAATTGAGCCACTTAGAGACGGTGCCTCAAATTTAGATAAAGGAACATTTAACTTAGGAACATTGAAGAGTACGGTCCTAGAACTGGGACGGTGGCTCTAGGAGTACGTGTCGTTATATTCTAGCCACGTTAATTACTACCTAAACATTTTTTACTGTCCGGTATTGTGAAACTGTGTACAGTCTCTATTAATTAGAATCCTGAGTCTGGTAGTTTCTAGCTCTGTTGAGGGATTGTCCATCGTATTTTCTCTCACACACACACACATACACACTACACACACACTACACACACACACACACTACACACATAAAGGTATTCATGCATGTATTGTATATTGAGATAGAGAGTAAAATGAGTTTTTACGCTCCCGTCATGTCTATTACTGGTTAGTTTGCTGGGCTAATCATCCTGTTTCACCTGTTTACACCTGAAATGTTTCAAAACCATTTAAATATTAATACGTACGTTACCTTTTCTGACATGGAATAGGCATCAACTTGAAACATGATACTGTGATATATTCCCATTGTTTTGGTTCATCGTTTACCCTTGATAGGATATTGTAAATGGTAGGTGAGGTTACTAGTGATCTTGAATTGACGGATATAACACTAATTGCCGCCATCATTGTACTCGACGGGGTAAACTCGTTAGTGAAGGAGGCGGGGGAGATAAAGTTATTGTATACCACCCAGAAGAAATTGAAGCGTTGACTCGTATAAACTTGTGGCTCTTAAGGCGTACAAGAGAACAGGTGTTGTAACTTGTGGCTCTTAAGGTGTACAAGATAACAGGTGTTGTTAATAATGTTTATAAGTCAGGATCCAGAACAGAGGGCAGTAACAACCTTCAAACAACTCCATTTGTTCGTATTTATTCATATTAAGGTTACTGAATGT